CACCTCATCTCAGAAGTTCGGAGCAGCGTTGTGGAACCCACGGAGGGAGGATTAGCATTTTCCCCCTCGGATGGGATTACCGATGAACAGAAAGGCCACTTTCCGGCGCACGGGGAAACAATGAGAGAAACAAAATGGCGGTGGAAGAGGGTTTGGGAAAGGGAAACAGGCAGTTGGCATCACTCTATGCGAAGCGCACATGAAGGCACGATCCATTTTCTCAAAACACTGGGAGTTGGGAACGCACGAAAAATAAAGTGAACACGAAACAAGGTCATCGCGTATTCTGTTTTGCTTTTTTTCTGCCTTCTTTGCCCGTCATGAACTTCTCAAAACCAACCAACACGGACTTGGTTTTGGTCTCCCCGGATGATCTTCCACGTGCCGCACACCGGCAAGCAGACGGGCGCCATGTATTTCCTGAGCGGTCCATTGGCGTCCGCTCTGCGCGAAGTACTAAAGTGGCGTCGCCCGCAAGAAAATCGGGGGATATATATGGTGCGCCAAAGTTGTTCGGCCGAGCCCTGGCGCGGCTGACACGCCGACTCCCTTTGGCGCAGTCACGGACGTGCGGTGCTTTCATCTCCTCAAGTTGCACCGCTGCCGGCCCGACTTGCTCGCGGACACGTTCCACTACGACGCTTCCAGCCATAGCTGTCAGAAGTGGGACAAGACGCGAGGCTGCTACGAGGCCGCCCGCTACTTCGTCAGCCAATCCGACTGCGCCTCGTCCTGCTTTTTCAACAAAGGTGCGTCAGGATCCATAGAAATTCGATGCCCTACGCACACACAAAAAGAAAAAAAAAGAAAAAAAAAAGTTGATTTTGGAAAATGCCTTATTTACATCCGCCCTCATTAAAGAGTATTCCCAGAAAGCTTCATTTGTTTATCGAGAGACTTAATTTTTGCGGCTTATATACTGAAATTTTATGGAGCCGGATACTGTGAACTTGTATTTTGCATTTACACGTTGGCTTATTATGAAATATTGTAATTAGCAAAACTATGTAAATGCGGGGAAAATGTTTTTCATTAATGTTTTTAGCTGAAAAATGAATATCTTGTGAAATTTATTTTGCCAGCAACATTAATTACATTATACATTCCACGAGAAAAAAAGGTGGTTGTCAACGCCATTTCTATATGGTAGATTAATTGAGCAGATTCCATGCTAAGCTATGCTTTACTTCGTTCTGGGGATATACCTCAAAGTAACTCACAGGGCTGAAACTTTTCATTCCCTCCTTCTATGTCGCAACAAACACCGCCTAGGAATTCCACGCCGACTGAGTGAGCGGTTCCAAAGTTGGCAGTCCCAGCGTTCACTCTGCTAAAGAGCGTGCAGAGAAGGCGCGCGCTGCGGGCCGAGGGAGCCTAGGTTCAGCCCCCTGTCCGTTTTTATCTGGATGAACGTCGTACCGGCGTGCGGTCGTGTATCGCTGCTGCCTGATGCACGTTAAAGACCCCAGGCTAGCAGTCGTACTGCACTGCTTAAATTGCTCATCCACAGCGGAGATGCCTGGAGCCCATTGAACACAACAGAATTAGTAGATTTCTGTGGATCCCGAACGTGTTTTATTGAAATCGTTTAATCTGATCACGGTTTCTCTCTCCCCCCCCCCCCCCCCCCCAAAAAAAAAAAAAAAAAAAAAAATCGATTATTTTTGTTATTCTATTTGTCTGAGTTTCGGGGTTTAGATTATGAGGAGGCTCTATCCAAGTCAACGACACAAAACCGGCTAAAATCGAAGAACACCGATAAGCATCCGTTGGTGTCAAAAATACAAAAAAAAAAAAAAAAAAAGAAAACGGTTGAAATAAAAAAACACCAGCTCTAGAAATTCTTGCTTCATTCGTCGATTTTCCCTATAAATAAACTGCGGAAAATCTACGACATATAATTATAAAAAGTTTTTTTTCTCTTTTTTTTTTAATGAGCTTGTTTTGAATGTTTTCTCTTCTTGCTATTTTCAGGTTTGTTGATAGGACCTTTCATATGAACAAGGAGCCGTAGTTCACGTCATAACGTTTGACGAAATAGAGCAAGGTGTAGAAGCGTAAGCACTTTGACGCAATTTGACGCAAATGGCGAGGCAACCGTATCACTGCGTCAGCCTAAAAACAAACAGATTTAGACTGACGCAGTGATGTGGTTGCCACGCCATTTGCGTCAAACTGCGTCAAAGTGCTTACCCTTCTACATCCTGCTCTATTTCGTCAAAATGTGAGGAACTTGCGCCAACATTGCTCCAATTCTTAATTTTACCTTATTAATACACAAAATGTAATATAAGCTTACGCTTACGGCCGGACCATTGCGGTACACGTGTGCGAATTTTCAGAACTTCCGATTGTCGCCTTATATAACATACTGTTCGGCTTTATATTCGCATGGAACACTGCCAGTAGTCGAACGTTTTGTGGTCTGTTCTGGCGGGTGAGTTTGTTTCGTTGAGTGCGCTTCTCACCGCGCACCGGTGTGCTGCGACGAAGCCACAAGCGCGGATTAGGAATCCCGATTTCCCGTGTATCGCTTTCCTGCAGTGCTTCTTAGTGCTAAGGGAAAAAAACATGCCCGCAAGGTGAAATATGTGAATGTTGGTGTAATAACTTTGCCTCGCCGTAAAAAAAAAAAAAAAAAATATTCTCACGATATCTGTTTTCTTTTTTTTTTTTTGGATTTCAGATATAGTAAGGATGCTTGGGTATTGCGAGAATAATTATATTTCTAATTCTATATGTATATTTTCTTATTTAGTTATTACCTTTATATAGATTCCCCCTGTTCGCGGCAATGATGGTAATAAATAGAGTATAATGTATCAGTGTCAATTGAAGCAGGTACGGAGGTTTGGGAATAACCTTATTAACGCGTTCGACTTGACTGTTTCTAAAAAGGCGTCAAACGTGTCAAATGTCATTAATGTTTATAATATAATAATTGCGAAACCCTTAATTTTCTTTTTATCCAAATGAAGGATTGCAGTTTTAGCGCGAATTTCGGAGCTCGAATGAAACATCGATTTGGGCGCCCAAAGTGATTATATTCTGACATTATTTCGGTGGAATCTATCCGGTTTACCTCTGAAGTTTGATGCCACAACTAAGATAATGATTGCCAGTTCGTACTGTCCCTCATGAAGCGGCACCCTGTTACCGTGCCTGATGTTTCCACGTGCAACGAAACAGCTCTAAATAAAGTCTTAGTAGATCGTTCTCCGATGACTCCGATAACGATACTCCGCAGACGCCGCCGCCGCTTTTACGCATGCATCGTATCGTTATCGAAGCTATCGGAGGTGTCGGAGCGATCTGCTAACACTCTTGTCGGTGTCAGGCTAAAAGAATGCTCTTTCCACTTTAGCAGGGCGAACGCTGGAGAGGAGGGACTCCCCTCCTCTCCAGCATTTACTCTGCTAAAGTCCAAAGGGACTCTTTCCACTTTAGCCGACGGTTGCATAGAAGTGAAAAGGGCAGTGTAGACTCTTTCTTAGTTGGGTGTGATTACACATGGATCCTGAACATAATATTTGCAGTGGTACGAATAAAAATTAACCGTGTGCTTATGCTCGAAAAAGTTATTTTTTGCTACTCCAAGAGATGCCCCAAAAAGGGCTCGTACCAATCACATAACTGTTGATAATAAAAAAAAAAAAAAAAAAAAGCATGCATTGGTGCGTTTACACCAGTGCATAAATGCTGGCTGGATCCCGGATAAAAGCTCGCGGGAGAGGAGCTCACCGGAGTTCACCCGCTTTTGTGCGGGTCCGGAAAACAACTCGACAGTTTTTTTGACAACCCCGGAGAAAAGTTCACTTTGACTTCAATGGTTATTGAAGGTGGTCGTCATCAATTCAGTGTTTATTCGGTGAAGTTTAACAATGGGTTCCCATATTCGGGAGCTTTATTGAACGCTTTAGAGCAGTGGTGCAACAAAAACAACAGGCGTGTCGCGCGCAGGCGGTACACATTTCAATGCAGGGTACTGTGCAGCCATTGTTCCTCTTTCAAGTCGACCGTTTTCGCGCGACTGCTACCATATTTAGTTCTGACGTAGCCGAAATAAAGAAAATAACAGCTTTTTTTTTATTTATTTGTCGATCGGAAGAGTTTAGAAATGAACGCGTAACTTCCTAAATAAATGATCAAATGTGAAGATTTGGCAATCCTGTGCCGGCTCTACATGAAAAGTAATTAAATATATAAGAGTCGAAAGACCACTTCAAACGACGGAAGGCGGACTGAAGTTAGTAACGGGGGTAACCCGTTACGGGGGGAGTTTCACAACTGAGGCAATCGAGTAACGTTGGGTGGAGCTGTGGTTGATTGGTTGTACCGCGTACCGCAGCACGCTTGTGACGTCGCGTCGCGGGCACTGCTGCCATTCCTCTAGCAGATAGTTTAGGTTTTGCCGTAGACGCTCAGAATCAAAGTTTTACCAGTGATATTTATGAATCTACGCTCAATACGGAGGAAAAAAAAAATCTTGTAATTCAGGGACACTGCTTCAGCTGGAAATAGTCGTAATCCTAAATTGAAAAAAAAAAAATATTGACCGAAGTTGACCTCAGTGACTAATATATCTAGTCGGCTGGTCGCTTAGCACTTCAACAAGGACTAACCGCCAAAGCTACAAGCACCTCCTCCTTGCGTTGAGTCGCACCACGGCTGCATGTTGGCTGCATACACGAGCGCTAGTGCAGCGAGAGCGAGAGCACAAGTTGAATAGCGCGCTTCCTCCACCCCCCATTCTCCCTTGATCGGTAGCTTGCGCCACCTAGGTGAAAAAGGGTAAAACGTTCGCTGATGATTTTTCTCTTTTTTTTTTTTGTTTAGACGCGGGAAACAATTATTAATAAACAAAATGTTAAGCTGTAAGAAAGGTGCATACATGTTTCCAAAAGGTTTTTTATTATTTCTACCTACAGCCATTTGTTTAAATCGCCAGATTTGTTTAGTTGATATGCTTTAGCGACATTTTCGAACTTGGACGTGAGGAAACCCTGTGGCAATGGCGGCGCCCACGTGCACGGTGCAGGTAGCTGTAGCTGCAGTCCGCTGATAAAAAAAGCCTTTTCCCCGTGCCGACAACGGTTTTTACCTCGCGCATTGCCTTGTGATTATCCGTGTTGATGAGAGCCGCGTCCTGCCTGTGCTTCTTCGTCCGATGGCGCCCTGCTTTGCTCCGGAGGTGGGTGAGATGTGCGTGTAGCGGGCCGACCGATGCCGATCGCCTGACCCGCCTTGTCGCCAGCATGCCCAAAGAACCGACGGCCGCCAAGGAGCTGCGGGCACAGCGGGTCAAGGCCAAGGGCGCTCCCAAGCCCAGGCCGTCCGAGATCACGCTCTGCGTGCTGGGCAACGGGGGCCCCGGCAACCCGCGCTCGCTCTACGTCATCACGGACCAAGCGCGCTACATGTTCAACTGCGGCGAAGGCACCCAGCGGCTAGCTCACGAACACAAGATGAAACTCTCCAAGTTAGAGAACATTTTTTTCACTCATAACGCGTGGGGCAACCTGGGAGGCCTTCCCGGCCTGGCGCTGACCGTGCAGGACATTGGGGTGCCCGAGCTGCGCCTCCACGGTCCGACCGACGTCGAGCAGCTATTCGACATGACCAGAGGCTTCATGGTGACGGACCGCCTGACCATTGCGAAGCGCAGCCCGTCTGACGGGCCTTTCTCGGACCACTGCATGGAGGTGCAGTACGTGCCGCTTTTCCCCCAGGTCACCTCCGACAAAGCGTGTAAAAAAGGGAAATGTGACGTGGACTGCGCTTCGGTCGTGGCGTACATTTGCAAGCCCCACAGCAAGCCGGGCCAATTGCACCTCGGCAAGTGTGTCGACCTAGGCGTTCCCCCTGGACCGTTGCTCGGCGAGCTGAAGAACGGCCGGGACGTCACGCTCCCCAACGGCACCCTGGTTAAGTCGTCGGACGTGGTATCGCCAGACGAGCCCGGTCCCGTGTTCATAGTGGTGGAGGTTCCGTCGGAGGAGTACCTGGACCCGCTGCTGGAGAACGCCGCCTTCACTAGCCACCAGGCGACGGCCGCCCGGGAGCAGGACGCTGCTCGGGTGGTGGTGCACTTCAGCCCGCCATCGGTAATGGAGCGGCCGGCCTACCTCGACTGGATCACCAGGTTTCCAGCCAGCACAGTGCATCTGGCGCTAAACGAGTACGCGGGCACGCTAAGCAGCGCCGCCGTCTACCGAGCCCAGCACAGGCTGCATCTGCTGAGCTCCTCCATCTTTCCCTTGCTCCACGTGGAGGAAGCCTCTGGCGTCCCGAAAGACCTTCGAGATGCCAATGTCCAGGCGGCGGAGACGCTGACCAAGTTCAGGTTACGGCCGAACCTCGGGCTGCAGAAGGATGCTGTGGTGGCCCTGGACCCCGCCGCCTACGTCCAGGAGGCTTGGGCTAGTCCCGGCTTCTCGGAGAGGCTGCAAGAGCTCAAGGCTGCCTCTGCCGCGAAGTCACAAGACAGCGCAGCGGCGTCATCCTACCCAGAAATTGTGTTCCTCGGCACGGCGTCGGCCATTCCCGGCAAGGACCGGAATGTTAGCGCTGTGCTTGTCAACCTCCGTGAGGACCTGTGCATCCTGCTGGACTGCGGGGAAGGGACGCTGAACCAGCTGGTCCGGTTCTATGGCCTCTCACGGGTGAACAAAGTGCTAGCTACGCTGGGGTGCATCCTGGTGTCGCACCTGCATGCAGACCATCACTTGGGCCTGATTGCACTTCTGCGGGCGAGGCAGTCTGCCCTGGAGGCCCTCGGCCTGCCCAAGGAGCCGGTGCCTGTGGCGGCGCCGAGGTTCATGGTTCCCTGGACCTCACGGTGTGACCGTTCCTTCGAGCCCGTCTCCCACCTCTTCATGTTCGTGGACAATGCGTCACTGCTCTGGGACCAGCCGTCTCCGGCGGAAGAGCGCTCCGACCTGATCCGCAGGCTCAAGCTCAAGGACCTGAGCAGCGTGCTGGTGAAGCACTGCAAGCATGCATACGGGTTCACGCTGACGACAGAGGCCGGCTGGAAGCTGACGTATTCTGGGGACACAATGCCCTGTGAGGACCTGGTGCGGGCCGGTACGGGCAGTGACATCTTGATTCACGAAGCGACCATGGAAGACGACCTTGCCGAGGAGGCCTTGCTGAAGACGCACAGCACAACCAGCCAGGCCATCGATGTGGGCAGCCGGATGGGGGCCCGCTTCACGCTGCTGACGCACTTCAGCCAGCGCTACGCCAAGCTGCCCCTTGTGTCGGACCGGTTCCACGCCTCGGTCGGCTGTGCCTTCGACCACATGTTGGTGCGGCCATCCGACCTGCCCGTGCTGCCGCTCCTCTTCCCGGCGCTGAAGAGCCTCTTTGCAGAGCACTACCAAGAGATGTGCGACAAGACGGCCAAGAAGCTGCGACAGAAGGCCCTGCAGCACGACGAGAAGCGCATGCCAGACGGGCTGCCCACTGCACAACATGCATCTGCGTGACCTGGTGGCAGACACGGCTGTTACCTTGGCCCAGAAGAGTTTGACTGGGAAATCTCCATCACAATCTCTTTGTTTCTGAGTGGGATGTGAAGAGGATTGTGCTCCCGCATGCATTCTTTCCCCAAAGAGGCCTCTTTGTGGATAACCAATTACCACCTCAGTTTGAACACCATTCAAAGGTGCTAAGGATCATTTCTGCTGCCCTTTAGCCTTGTTTCTCTTTTGGTCTGGCCAGTGCATTGCGGATCAGCCAACACAGCAGCAACGAGTCAATCTTCGAACTTTCCACTGCCCTATAAGGCCCAGCCAAGATTTACACTGTCAGTCCGAAAAGCTAGCAAAATGAAACAAAACCATCCTATTTGACCCAAAGCCACTCATCTATGATGCCTCCCTTGTTTTTCGGGACAGGATCCCGGACTCTGCCCTTGGAGACCACAAGAAACAATTATACCCCCCCCCCCCCCCCCCCTAAGATACGAGGGTTTATTTATTTCTTCTTTGCAGTACTATGGGCATCTTGTTCAGGGGCATTGCAAAAAGAGTGCGTACATGGCCAAAAATACACAGACATCGGAATGATTGGTTGATTTGTTTGGGTGATTCATAGCAGGCTGTGCTGTTATTTTGCAAAGGCAAACAAAAGGCAGCTCCAAGAACTTGAATGGTGTGAGTATAAAACTACTAATATATGGCTTCATTAGTAGAAATGAGAATGCACTGTATTATGAAACATGATGGGGTTGTGTCGCTAACATGTCAGCAGGTCCTTCCAGTCCTTAACAGTGTGCAAGAAAAAAGATAATCTACGCGACCAGTAATTTGTGATCTGTGGCGTGGGTGGTTTGGTCGTGATGATGCTCTGCTAGGAGAAAGTATTAGTGTGTTACAATGCCCTAGATGATAATAAATTTTATGAAAGGGACATTAGTGGTATGTTTTATGACAGACGTAATATCCAGCTGGCATGTAAGGGTGGAGACACTTGTTTGTTAGTTCTTACTGCATTGTACTGAACGGAGTCAAGTTGGTTGAAAAGATAAATTGAATCTGGGCTCAACAGTATTGGGGCATAAAAAAACATAAATAAACAAGTGAACGGAGTGCATTGAAATTTTTCACAAAGGTGACTAGGTGGTGGATTAATTATATGTACTCAAGTTTTATAAGTGTGGGTTTCGGAGAAAAGTAAGCCTAAAAAATCATCTTTTTCTTTTTCCCGTGGACAAAGGGGATGCTTTAACAAAGTGATTCCTAAAATTTGTTGCTGCAGGATGCTTTTTACTGGTTTTAGTGAATTGCAATATAGTTGAACATGCACTCAATGTAAATTTTATTAAAAACTATAATTAGAAAGAAAAAAAAACGGGAAAGAGGGAGTGCAGGGTAAGAGCCAGTTCAAGCGTCTATCAAATCTATAATATTCTAATGCTGCTTCACAGCTGTTAGGCAGTCGAGATCTAGGGACATTGATTGCCCTGGCGTGTGAATGAAATAATCACGTTTTGTGAGCTTCTTTTTTGTTTTTTTCACGTTCAAACATTCAAATAAATTATCGCCATGAGCAAGGAAAACATTAAGAATTAAGGGTATTTGTGATGTACATTCTACAAGATTATGTAAATATATAGCTATACATATGAGTGCTATTAGTAGCAGTCTATATTTGGATGTAGCATTTTATAAATACATTTTAGAGATGGTTAATATTTCATGATTGAAGTATTTTGAAACAAACATTTTGTTTTCTATGTGTTCAAGCCTAAATCAAGTAAATACTGGATTAATCTGCAGAACAATGCTGGCGAAAGTCAATTTGGATTGTTTTGTACAGTTTGCGTTTGGAAACTTTGTGTAACTTTCTTCGGGACCGCTTAAAAAGAACTAAGTCGTGACTGTTTAGACAGCTAGCGTGAAGTTAATGAGCCCTAATGGGAGTCATGTAGTGGCAAATTAGAGCAGTGATCGGGATGGCTTGACCCCTCCCCCTCCCCCTCCCCCCCCCCCGCCCCCAAAGAAGTCCACACGTCTAAAAGTGTGTGTGTGGGGGGGGCATGTTTACTTATGCATGTGATACGCCGACACCCCCCCACACCGGGTTCAAGCGGCGGAGAAAAACTCACCGGAGAATAGCTCATCGCAAAACTAGCGGATGAGAAGAAAAGCTCACCGCCCTGGAGTGGAGATAGAGAAAAGCTCATCGAAATTTTTATTCTTTCTTAGCTCAGCGAATTTTGCGTTACACGTGACAGTTTAACACAGTTAGAATTCTTCATTAAAATAATTGTACTCTTTTGTAATATTCTTGAAGTTTATTGGGCATATTTACTAATTCCTCAGAAATTAGTAATCATTCATTCCGTTTATTAGTCACGCCACAAGTATAAAATCAGCATAAAATTAGCGGAAAAAAATTGCCCCGCTAAAATTAGCGGAAAAAATTACCCGCTATATTGAGCGGAAAAATTGTCCCGCTAGCGGAAAAAAAATTCCCCGCTAAATATAGCGGAAAAATTTCCCCGCTAAATTTAACGGAAAACATTCTTCACTAAATTTAGCTAAAAAATTTCCCCCGCTAAATTTAGCAGAACAATATCCCCACTAAATTTAGCTGAAAAAATTTCCTGCCAAATTTAGCGGAAACATTCTCCCGCTAGCGGGTATTTTATTCCACTAAATTTAGCGGGAAATGTAGCGGAAATTTCCCGCTAAATGAAAGGGAAGGAGAAGGGGCCCATACTCTCCCCTCCTCCTCTTCAAGAGCTGCGCTCTAATTCGGCATTACAGGGAGTTGTAAACGTCTTTCATTTTTTTTTTTTTTTATAAAACTTGCAAAAGCAGCTTGCCCAGTCGTGTTGGTTGTCCTCATTCCGTCTTCGTCGTTTGAGCTGTTTTCATCATGTATAACGTTTACGAACTCGCCCAACTCAGCACCTTACAGAAGACAAGTTCTTATATAAAAGGAGACGCCAAGCTCTTTAAATCGACCGGAAAATTCGGTTTCTTAACCTATCGCGCTACGACTTCGTGCAGCGTTGCCCACAGATGGTACATTTTATTTTTGGAAAATTTGCAAACAGCGAACTTACGTGAGGAAGAAGTAAAGAAAGAGAAAGGCTTAGCTAATATGGAAACGCAGCGACGCCACCGGTCTGCAAACAACACGGCGCCGTTTCGCACGGAAGACAAGAGATGGAGCAAGCGGTCGCGACGCCAGCTGCCGCCAACGAACGAGCAGACGACGCCGAGAGCCGGCCCTTTAGCAAAAAAAGGAACTGCAGCTCCTTGCTGTTACTAGTTACCGCGCCTTTCTTTTTTGTTTCTGCGACTGTCGCGCCTGCGGAACGCGCGCCCCTTTTGAGTCGAGAAGATCGTCTGCTAAAAAGGCTAAAAAGGCCTGCTCTCGGCGTCGTCTGCTCGTTCGTTGGCGGCAGTTGGCGTCGCGACCGCTTGCGCCATCTCTTGTCTCCCGTGCGAAACGGCGCCGTGTTGTTTGCAGACCGGTGGCGTCGCTGCGTTTCCAATGAAGCTAAGCCTTTTCCTTTTTCTCCTTCTTCCTCAGGTAAATTCGCTCTTTGCAAATTTTACAAAAAAAAAAAAAAAAATGCACCACCTGTGGGCAACGCTGCACAAAGTCGTAGCGCGTTAGGTTAAGAAACCGAATTTTCCGGTCGATTTAAAGAGCCTGGCGTCTCCTTGTATACCCTGTAGGTCACGAGTTACAACGGTGACAGCAGGAATGGGCAAAATACATGCCAATATGTATCGAAATACAAATACAAAATACTTCATCAAAAATGTATTTAATTACAAATCTAATTACATAAAAAAAAGCATTTAAGTACAATATACAAATACAACCAAATGTATTTGGTCTTCTCCAAATACTTTTCCAAATACATTCCTCAAAATTTGCGTCAGCGACTTTAGGGCACCTGCTACGGGTTTCTGTGTATCTCATTTTAATTTTGCATCGCACACTCGGGAGGTAGTGTGCAGTCTCTAGTAACGTAATAGAAATATAATCACAAAAAAATGTAATCAGCTTGGACGTAATAGGTGAAAAAAGTACATAGCTTCAAGCAGCTTTTTCGGTCGATTACATTTTGGTATAGACCAACAAAGAACCGAGACGACCAAGACGCGCAGCACAAGCTAGAGAATTTTTTATTGTTGCAACTCGCACCAGTTACGAAAATCTGGACGACCCGCGCATTTAGAATGTTCCATGCAAAAATATGGATGGAAATCAGGCTGGAAAGCATTACAAGTTGTTGCAGGCACTTATTTAGCCGGTCTGCACGTGAACGTCGATTTCGTCACTATTCTTGCCCTGGACTAGCACCGTAATCACAAAGTCACTAAACGCTTGCGCTTGATTGAGAGACACTGCATTCAATGCAGCACGTAGTTTTCTTCCTGCTCTAGACAGTGACAATAAATTTGAGGGATGTATTTTCGCCCACGTGCATATCCGTAAAAGAAAAAAAAAAATCTAAATATCCTACTGACCGTTTTATCCTGTTTTCAAAGACTAACAAAAGCTTCAAAGAGAATTTCAGGCACTGCGTTGTTGCGCATGCACTTTCGAATTTTTGGCATTTACAGTTTTGCTTTTTAGGTTTTAGGCAGACATCATTAAGTTTTCGAACTTTTTTCTGCTTTTCAAGTTGCCTAGAGCAGTGGTTCTCAACCATCTAGGTTTCGCGGACGAGGACCCCGTTCGGGATGAGGGGAAGGAAAAGATATAAGTTAATGATTATAATGATTTTTTAAATGCATATTACCAGTGACTCTAGATATTACCAAGGGTTAGTGTAAAGTAGACTTCTCTCAATCACATACATACGAGGAAACGTACCCCAAAATTGGAACGTTTGAATTCAATATGAAATAAAGAGAACTTCTATCGCCGGGCTTGACTGATGTGACAAGGCTTCGCGGACCTCTACCACGCCTTTGCGGACCCCAAAGGTTCCGCGGGCCCCCATTTGAGAACCACTTGCCTAGAGAGTAAAGCACAGAAAACACTCGCCCGCAATGATTTATTTTGGAGCAATTTTTTTTTTTTAATGTGCCGAATTTTAATGATAATAAATTGATGTATGTTACCATGATCCGACAGCCTCTATATGGAAACAAAACAAAAAAACGGTGAGCTTTTCTTCGCATCCGTCGGTTTTGCGGTGAACTTTTCTCCGGTGAGCTTTCCTCCGGGATTCCCGGGCTAACTAGCGCGAGATTTTGCTCCACGTGCTGGTGGGACCATTCTGTCCGGACAAAAGCTTGTCTCAGCTATGATAAGAAGAAATTTGTCCCAGCTATAATAACAAGAAATGGCGGTTTTGTCGATGAATTGCTGCAACAGCTAAGGCAGTGACTCCCTATGACAATTTGCTGGACCGCGCATCCCCGCTTGGTCGCTACATTGCAAGTGCGGCCACCGGACGGCCATCTTGAAACACGGAAAATCGACCATCTGGAGCGTTGCGGAGACTGGGGGCAGCGTGCTGAAGACACGCTTTCTGCTAATTCGTCGTCATTCGCCGAAGAAATTTCTTAAAACCCCATGTAAACAGTAAGCATTGCCTTTGAAAACACGTGGATTTTTTTACGAGAGCTCAGCAGTGCAGGAAAAAGGCACAACTCGTCGAACGCAAGTCTCACTGGTCTCGCTGCGTTATCGAAGTTTCCTTAGCACGCCGAAGTTCCGCGTTTCTACCTTCGCACGCTTGGATACCGATCAAAAATCGGCGCCGTCTGGATTTGTTTCGCGAGTGCAACGTGCGTGAAGACGTATGTGCCTCTGGAGCAGCGTTTTATTGCTCTTACGACTGTATATTTTAACTTGCCGCACTTGCGGTCCAGAAACGAGCTTGACCCAGTGTCGACGGAGGAGGGGTACGGCGACGGCGACAGATTGCACACAATCATATGGGCCACGTTCCAAAAACAATTTCGATCTCGCAGTCTCATAATTTTGCGTTCGAAATCTTACCTTCCTGCACAGCGTCACTCTATTTATGCTGTCATGTGATACATTCGAGTAGACCAGAGCTCTGGAGTAGACTTTGAACAGCCATGGTTAAATAGCAACCACAGATTTTGTTTTTTCCTTTATGGATAGCAACTCCTTGGAAAAGCTGGGTGATCCAGAACGCCGGAACAGAATACATCTACGCGCGACACACCTTCAAAACTTTGCCACGACGTCGATTCTTGATAAATATTCAAGCGTTCAAAAGCACAGAGGCGCAGCACTTCGGCGTGCCTAGGAAGCTTTGATCACGCCGCGAGACCGGCGGGACTTGCGTTCGACGAGTTGTGCCTTTTTCCTGGGGTGGTGCACTTTCATAAAATGTTTCACGTGTTCTCGAGGGCATTTTTCACCGTTTACACAAGGTTTTAAAAAACGTCTTTGGCGAATGACGACGAGCGAGCAGAAAACGTGTCTTCAGCACGCTGCCGCCCAGCCTCCGCAACGCTCCAAAAGGTCGATTTTCCGTGGCTCAAGATGGCCGTCCGGTGGCTGCATTCGCGGGGGAGGGGGAGCGCGGTTCCGCTAAATTTAGGGGGAAGGGGTGGGGAGGAAGGGTAGGGAAACGAAAATTCAGGGTGGAAGAGGCAGAAATCTTTATTCTCTCTCTTCCCGTGCAACGAACGCCCTTTAATTTTTGAGCGTCCAGTCAACTGTCTCCAAACATCTGCGTGACTTTGGAAAGTGCCTTCTATGCATGAGTTCTCGGATAACCGAAAACATTCTGCTGAGCTAGGCTCACACGCCTATGCCCTTGCCTTTACTGCAGACATATACTAGATAGACAAAGTACCGGAAAAGAGGGAAATGCGATGGGACAAAAAGGTTGTGTAGCCTGTATGTTTAGACAGCATTGATACGCCTCAACGGGGTCGACCTGTCTCCCAGCTGTAGATGCGCAATTTAGCAGGTGCAGTACGACCGCTGACCTGGGGGCGTTTAACGTGCACCACGCAGCAGTGATCACACGAACGCGTGCCGCTACCATTCAGACGCCGGCGCAGGCGCTTCACGCGAATCGGGTTTCTGCGCGCGCGCGCACTGGCTCCGCTCGGTGTGGGCAAAGGAAGGCTCGTCTGCCAACAGCTTGTCCGATGTCCGTCGTTCTAGACGCTTGCTCGGACGTCCGGCCATCATCCAAGTGCAGCGCAGAACAGCGGAGATTCTCGTGGTTCTTCAACACGGTCAGCCGCACGTGCAACAGCGTCCTGGACCTCTGCCTGGCCGGCCCGAACCAGTTCAACGACCGAGCTGCCTGCGCCCACGCCTGCCCGAGCAAAGCCGGCCTTATATATAGTCATTGACGAGTCGAGCGCGGACATCTATATGAATCGCAACAATATGCATCTCTCTTGATTTCTAACAGTGTGGGAACGGGAGTTAAGCGAATAAAGATACGATTTGCCCAAAAGCGAGCCGAATGCATATATACGCACTCCCAACGATATGATCTGAAGCATTCAATCTGGACTCTTCCTACAGTTTCTACAAGCTCTGTTACCTCTCCAATTGTGAGAATTTAAAGATTGAGAAATAAGCTTTGCGTTCCAATAGTGTTCGCTGGGGTGCGGGATGTTATTTATTAAAATGAATAAATAAAGTTAGGATACGATGGCATACTTTCAGATAAGAGGACAGCTTTAAAAGCAGGGGAAAAAAATAGGGAGGGGACATTGATTGCATCGACGTCATATATCAGCCCTTGGGGTGGAACTTGCTTGGGGGGGGGGGGGGGGGGGGGGGGGGCGTATACACCCCTGCAGCAAACATTTCACAACCCCTACTTTGTTTTTCTCCGCAAGAACGAGCCCGGAATGACCACCAGCACGATAGGATGGCGTCGCGTGCAAAGGGTGGGTAGGAGCGCTTCATCAACAATGTTTTTTTTTTTTTTTTTTTTATTAATCTTTTTTTAATTTTTCAATATTAATATTAATAACAATGTTTTTGATTCATCACCTGCACATCGAACCCATTGTTTTGCATTATTCTTTCGCGGACTAGAGTACTTTCTACTTGACTCATAAAGCCTATGTAAATAAGACAAGCCTGAAAAGGTGTTATACTATAGGAAGCCGTATATAATTTTATTAACAGGCAAGCGTGGACGAGACGCGGAGCAGTGGTCAGCTTCGATCATCTAAAGGAATTGACGAGACTGTGGAAAGCGTGAACGAGGCCAAGTGCAACGGAGGTGAACTGAAAAGAAGCAAATGCACACTCGTTGGCCCTGAGCACGGCGGTTTGGCATTTCATTTTATTGTCCTCTTTATTGCTTTGTTGGAATATAATATAATATTATTAATTGAATATTATCTATTACATTGATCGAACACCTTATTAAAGGGACACTTGAGTAAATTACATCGAAAAAGTAATTGTAATGTATCGATAACAGTTATACTTACGAATTGTAATAATAATCCCACGATCCACGTGACCGCAATTGAGCAGTCGAAAACACTTAAAAGTTAAAACTAGGTACAGTACAGTCTTCAGAGGAAACTTCTCCCATCTCTTTCCCCTTCAGCAGAGCAAACGCTGGATTGGAGGCGGCGTCCTCTCCAGCGTTCGTACTGCCGAAGGGGAAAAAAGGGGGAGGAGCTTTCTGCGAACTCCTGACCTGTGACCAACAGTAAATTCTATTGTTTGTAGAGGTCCGTTGGAAAGCTGGCCTGAGCAATTTTAAACGGCCTTATAGTATAGTCGTCAACCAAGGCATGGCAGAGCAGTGCCTTGCATGGTGCTTACCGCCGAGGCATCGCTGTACTTCATCCCGCTTTTCGAGTGGTGCAGGAGCACACCGCTTAACATGTAGATAAATCCGGCCACATAGTGGTACAGCAAGTACTGTAAGTCAAAGGGGAAGTCATTAGAAGTTCCGAAAATAGGACCCGCGATACGCTACACGCGAACGGCAAAATGTGTTGCTAGAAGCAGAAAAGGATCTCTTCGAGGAGATCAGCCTTCCTCCTGCTTGCAGACCTTATATCCGCCCTACACCGGAAGCCCCGAAGGTGCTCACAAAGGTGGTCTGTGGCAGATGGAATTGGGTGGAGGGCGAAGAGATTCCGGCGATGACGATGAGCATGTTGTTGAGGCAGTACGTGAAGGCTACCAGGAAACACACGTGAGGGTACCACTGGACGATCACGGAACCCGCCGCCAGTACGTACAGTACCAGCACGCACGCGGCTCCCACCTGCGAGTCCAGAATTCGGTAAGCATGTGCGAGATAAACGCGAGATCTCTACAGGGTTGACTGTATACACCTATGTCACACGTTTCAGAATTACTCGGAAAAACGACGACAGACGACGGCCCGTGCCTGCCAATCCGAGCGACAATGGAAGCTCCGCACAGAAGAGTACGGAGGCGAAACTTTGGTCGGCATGTTGTGACGATGAATTTTTGTTTTCTAAATAGTATCATGAAGTGGGTCCCGAAACCCGCGTGTTTTCTGGTGGGGCTTACAGCACAGAACCAATCGTGCCAGCCGCTACACCTTTCACTTGTGGTCACCCTTTGTGTGCGCTGTACTCGTCGTTCGGAAGCATGTCGACAAGTTTGTCAGGTAACGACGCGCCGGCAGATACGTTTTTACCCCCCGCCATGTCGGCATAACCATCTTTCTTTTTTTGTGTTGCATGGTTAGACAGAAAAGCGGATCCGAGAGTTAAAGGGCAACTCCCCTAGTAGCACCGAATGTTGCCACAATGTTACTGGAATGTGGTCCGCCAACGTTGTGTATACGTGGCTAATGTCCGCGAAATGTCATGTTGCTGGAACGTTATCTGAAAACATTCCCGTAACATCACAGTAAACATTTGTGCTATGTTATGCCCTCAACATTTGTGCTATGTTATGCCCTCAACATTTGTGGTATGTTATGCCCTCAACATTAGTGGAACATAATTTATTAACATTGTTTATATATTTCCAATGACCACACAGCAAACATTTGTGGTATGTTTTGTCCTCAACATTCGTGTAACATTAACTTGGTGTCTCAAGTAGCAGCCAGGCTCTTTAAATCAACCGCGAAATTTGGTTTCTTAACCTATTGCGCTAGGAGATTTTGCAGCGTTGCCCACAGGCGGTGCATTTTTTTATTATAAAAATTGCAAAGAGCGAACTTACCTGAGGAAAAAGTAAAGAAAGAAAAAGGGTTAACTCCTTTGGAAATTCAGCGAAGGCACCAGTCTTCAAACAATAGGGCGCCCTATTTTTGAAGACCGTTGGCTTCGCTGCATTTCCATAGCAGTTAAGCCTTTTTCTTTCTTTATTTTTTCCTCAGTTAGTTCGCTCTTTGCAATTTTTATAGAAAAAAATACACCACCTGTGGGCAACGGTGCACAAAATCCTAGCGCGACAGGTTAAGAAACCGAATTTTGTGGTCGATTTAAAGAGACTGGCCACTATTTGAGACACCCAATATATTGCCAATTGACCACTACTTTTCTACATGAGCTACATTATAAAAAAATCAATTTACCCACAACAAGGACAGCTAAAAACGGACAAGCACATATACATAGCCGCAGTGTGCTAGCTTCGTTTCTATCTTTCCTCGTCTCGGGCAAATTAGTCGCAGACTAGCTCTCTCAGCGATTTCACCCCACCTTCGCCTGTGTGAAAGTCGTTGATCAAATAGCACTGCTGCTGAACCGCTCTAAGAAGTTATTCACTTCACTTGAGAAAACGTGAATACTCTTTTCTGTAATCTGCTTTCAATCATGTCGATCTATCCCAGTTTTATTTCGAGGTAATAGCTTTTATAAAAAGCTCCACTTTTTTTTTAAACTTTTTTCAGCCAATCAAAATGTTTAACTTTCAGATGTTTGTCACTCCAATGTTCTTGCACAAGAATTTTCTGAGCAGAGAAGTCACTAAAAAAGACATTTAGCCTAATTGTGAAGTAAACTTTGTGAGGGAAAAAAAATCTTTCTTACGTGACAGAGAAATAAAGAACTTCTGATGATCTTAAAGGACAAACGTTGATTTTAATTCCCAAAATAATTAGCACTTATAACCAACAAAGGCTAGACACATTTAGCTAATGAATGGGTATATTGAAGATAAAATGTTTGTCCCAAGTTGCCTTAATACCCAAGTTGACACCTTAGTAACTGTTGAGCACAGCACTTGCTGACATGTCGGTTACCAGAAATGTAGCCTGTAATATATATGCCTCACGGAACTCCAAAGCCAAATTTAGCAGCTATACTCCGTTTCACCTTCAGTTGAAGCGCAGCATACACTACGAGCCATCCCAGTCAATTTAGCGTCAAGTCTGATGCGACTTTGAGCTCTGCCTCCCGTTCCACACAACTGGAAAGTCATGTGATACTCTTCCGGCGCTGGATCAGCTGGGATGGCCCATACCGTTCACTATGCTTTAACTTAAAGTGAAACGGAGCATAGTGGAGACAGCACTGTAACTATTCAGACTCAATATTTCGAAATTAATTAGGGTTGATTTTCATTTCTTTTATATTAAACTTTCACAACCCACAAAAGTAAAAGGTTTCATGAATTACCAGTATCCCCAACCATTGGGCAATTGATTTGCATGATAACTTCTACAATTTTTTCTCCAACTGCAAGATTTTGAATTATTTTGGAGTGGATTATCTACTCTCTACAGCAGAAGACTGACTAATAGAACATGCATATCACAAGATGCATCCCCCCCCCCCCCCCCCCCCAGACAGTATAATTTCAGCAATATTTTCACTTTGTGACACAATTTAAAGCAGTCCTCCACTCTACTTTTCTCTCTCGCATCTGCTCGTGGCAAGCAGAGAAGGAAGCAGGGGTTGCTGGGAAAAGTATGCACATCCGTCTCCATCACTTTCTTCCAGCCAATAGGAAGTTACAAAAAGAAAGCTATCTCCTTGAAATAGCAACCACTTTTCAGGCAACCATGTAAAATCAGTCTTGCCAAAATGAGTCTTGCACCCTGAATAGTTATACTTTATTTTTTTTTTTCAAGGAAAATGCATTTTATGACATGGGTGTCCTATCCATGTCATTCTAACTTGTTCTAACTTTTTTAGTGGCCCTCTAAGAGGCACCTGTCACTGACCATAAAGTAGGACGCTTAGAGGAATCCAAAAGATTTGTTGAGATAGGGTTTATTTTCATAAATCTTCCAAGTTTTACATTGCACTCAGTAGAAGCTGTAAGCTCAGCCAACTTGATTAAAATAAACAGTGAGAAAACATCACGAAAAAGGTTGCAGCAACAGGACCAGACATATACTGCGGAAACATTTGCAGATTCACTAAGAAACATACTCAACTTCTCAAAAAGTATAATGAGTGGTAACAACCAAGCTTAAGTTAGCAGAAGAAACATGTAGTTTGAAAGTAACTTTGAGTTAAATAAAATTGACTAGATATATAAGCAAAGGTGTGTTACAAACGGATCATTCTTGCATCCGTAGGGCAACTGCAAGAGGAAAAAAAAAAGTAATTACACAGACGAAAATTATAACAAAAATGTTTACATCCTATTCATAGGCAGTATCGACGTTTACCAGGAATAGGTGTGACAGCTACTCGCTTAGTTCTATATACACAGATATTAGATTGTGAAAATAGTGGTAAATAAGTTCAATCAAAAAAACCACTAGAGTAACCTGCCACTGATGTTACCATATCTGTTGCTGCTCAAAGTTATCATAAAACAAACATATGTCATATTAATGAACAGAGAAGGAAGAGGAACAGTTACATAAAACTAGAGGGCACACAGTCCCTTATCGCCATCTTGAGCGCAGTGTCACCCTTTCTCTACACCAAGTGTCATTATTAGCTGTAGATTACTCCCAGAAGTCAAAAACTTATTTTCGGAAACCTGAATGAGACAGGCAAATGTCCTGCTTGTCCTCTGTCAATAACATAAACGTCATAATTATTGTGATCAATAAATTACATGGGTCCCCACCCCCTAACCTAAAAAAAGCTGTGCACATGGCAGGCTTCATGTTGCTTGGTAATGACATTAACGAGATAAACATTCACTTTTCTCAGTACTGTTTCTAAAGTGCAGTCAAAGTCAGCAAAACAAACTGACATATTAAGGAACATAATTTCCACATCAAAGGTCACTCAATGCCTGGAAAGTAGTTATAAAAGGGAAAGTCAGAGTGAAAGAAGCTGACTATAAACATAATAAGAGTAAAAAAAGTGCTTGCCTCTTTCTACAAAGTCACCTCTAGGCAAAAGCAGTGCCCTCCTGCAAAAAGCATATTAAAGGGGTACTCCGCCGATTTTTGAGCTACCTCAACTAACTATATTTTCTGACTCCCAGGCCTTTACCCTTTCTGGAATGCTATTTAATATCGTAAAATTCATAATAGTTATTGCGAAATCGGCAAATGAAAATGATGCAAAAACAGACATTCAAATATACCCGCCCTTTTCAGGGCCGTGACGTCAGTGGAAGTTCAGCTTGCCAGTCGGGCGAGCAGTCTAAAAAATAGAATATGCCAATTATTTGTTCCGTGCTGGAGCGCGGGGACTGGAGCGAGCTTCCAAGGCATTCATTTGACACCATGAAACTGCTTCAAATCAGTTGGGAACAAATTCTACAGTCCAAAGAGTGAACCCCTGCACTTCCAATGACGTCACTTTTTCATTGTTGCCAGTAGAGACATTCAGTTTGAAAAACACGGTGAGGACCAAAATTGTAAATGCAATAACTTCGTGAAAAAAAATTATTTTGTTCCAATATTTGGGATACTATTTTGGCGATGTTGTTTGGCGAGTTTAGCAAAATTTCAAGCAAATCGGGGACCATGAAGAAATCGGCGGAGTACCCCTTTAAAGAGTAAAGCTATACAGGGCGTTTCTTTAATTCTTTACGGAATTGAAAAAAAAAAAAAAAAAGCTGATAGCTACGTGGATTCGCCTTCAGTGTATGTTTGTGGGGCTTGGAGGGCATTCTATGAGGGGATAAATGTCACAGTATGTTGGCTAACAAAATTCTGCTAATTAACTTTTTCATAAACGGTTTAATGGGCCACGTTGCAATTGCAGTTTTAAAGGGAGCCATTAGTAAAGGCTAACCCAATTTATACAGTTTGCAAAAAAAAAAAAAACATTAAGATATTTATTGTTGAAATTTTGCCTTTCTTCGCTTGATTAAAAACCGCGTGCTGAAAACCGCGCCTGGTTAGGATTCATAGAATAGTGA